TGATAAACAATTATCAATAATCGATTATGACTTGTTATAATCGATTTTCACGAGCAATTATGAAAATTTTCAAGCAAGTTTTTTACCGTTGTACATTGATTAAATGCATAATCGATTACCTCATTTAGATAATCGATTATCATGCATTAAATAGATGACAACGGGCTTTTGGAGGTATCCATGAGTAAGATCTCTATAAATTGGATTGGGACTATCATTCTAATATATGAAATACAAAATACTTGAATTTCAAAAAGCTTATTTGTTTTGTTGTGTGTTGTGTGTTCTAGGGTTTGTATAATCCTTGTGCTTGTGGTTTTGAGAACTTAGTGCTGGCATAAATCAATAACTTTCATGGGAGTGATGATTAAGTGTTGTTGTTGTTGCTGAGTTAAAGCCTGTTATCCTTTGTGAATATTCAAAGGAGGTGTTCATCCTTCGTGAAGCATTCAGATGAGGTGTTCATCCCTTGTGGGTTTCAGAGAAAGTGAGTTTCATCTCCTGTGGAAACAAGAGAGGTGTTCTAACCTCAAACTTGGTTATTTTCTTTGTGATTGTAATAGTTTGTTAGTTTGTGATAGTGAAGCGTTAATTCTCATTTGAGATTAACAACTAGACGTACGATATGTCTGATCTGAACCAATATAAAAATCACATGTGCAATTTTCTTTCTTCCTTCATCTCTTATTTTGTTTTAATTTATCGTTAAGGAACTTAATTTAAAAGAGAAAATATTTAAAGGCACGGTTTGCGATAAGAAACTAATTCACCTCCTCTTGGTTTGTTGTACACGCTAATCATTCTGCTGCACTTCTTTGACATGAATTCTCATAGGAACTTAAGTAATAAATGTAGTTAACGGTCAATTTTATTGATAATTTTCAATCTTTCTCCTTCATTGTGTAAGAAAATATATGTGATGTTATTTATTATAGTTATTGGTAGAAAACTAACTAATTTCTTATAGTGCAACAATTTAAAGATGATTGCAAAGTCCAAAGAGGCTATGAGAAAGCATTTTTGAAATGAGAAAGGCTCAACATGTTATTTTTTAGGCGTAAGGTCACTAATAGAATCATCAAACTTTCATATCTCAAAAGAAATGTACTATTGATATTCTAAAATAGTTTATAATATAGAATTCAAAATCAGGTATATATACTAGTTAAAGAAATATTCAAATTGACAAGAATAATAGATGATAAGAAAAGAGACCTAACTTACTACCAAACTTTGATTAAAAGTCACATATTGCAACAAGGCTATATAATGTATTTGGACTATGATTGCCAAGTATATTTTGGCAAGAGTCATGTATATGTCATTTGCAAGGCATTAAAAGAATCATATGTTACACTAAAGACATTTTGATTGATAGAGTTTTTTATGCTAGAAAAAGTACAAAAAAATAAATTAAACTTACAAATGGGCAAAATTCGTTGGTAATCACAAAATTTGTTTGTAATTGCAAAACTTCGTTGGAAAATCAAAATTATTGACGAATTATCGACGATTAAATATCTACCAATAAAATGTTCAGCGATCAATTTTACAGATAAGTTTTTTTTACTGATAATTATCGATAACCATAATCTATCAATAATTATTTATGGTCATTATATATCGATAATTAGCAAAAACCAAAACACATCATAATTATTCGTCGATAAATATTCGTCAATAATTATTGACGAATATTGATTGTCAGTAAATCTCTAAATTCAATTCTTCTTTGTTTCTTCTTTTTCCATTGTCGACACCTCTAACTCTTTTTCCTTGTCCTCTAACTTTGACTTTGTTACCTTCGTCATTTGTTGTCCTGCCTCTACCTCCTCTTCCTCTTTCTTCTCCTTTTTGTCCTTCTCATTCTCACTTTCATTCTTCTTCTCCTTCTCCTCCTCTATTCTTATTCTCACCCATCTACAATTAATTTACAACAATTTTTTGTTGAATTTGATGAAAAAATGAAAGCCTATTTTATTGACTAAATTACTAACATTATTTTTTTAAAAATGCAATTACTAATTATGTTAGGAAAGAAATCAATTATCGATGGTTTTATCGCCGAATTTTAATTTTTTTATTATCGATGAATCCATTAACGAAAAATATTTTAATCGATAATTAAAATTTTAAAATATGTTAATAAAATTTGGGTGGATTTTTTTTATTAACAAATATTTTTCAATTGATAAAAATGCGTGAGTAATTTAACAATTTTCTAATAGCAAAAGTAAAACTTGTTGGTTGTACCGATAGTGAATTGGCTAGGAGATGTAGAAATAAGATACTTCGAAAAAAAATATTTTATGATAAGTCTATAATTACATTATGTAAAGATCTAGTGTTTCAGTGTTTCATAGATGATCTAAAGAGATTAATATTTATGTTGGGTTTGTTTGAGATTATCTAGTGTAGTAGAGGAAATAAATGTTATGCCAAGGTTGTTAGAATGAAGTGATTTTGAGTGATTTGAGAAGATAGATTTGAGAGATTAAGCTTCTTTGGATACTTACACGAGTAAAGAGAATAAAAGAGAAAATCACATCATCATATCTTAAATTACAAGAATACTTCATCCTTTTTGCAATATACCATTTTCTTATATCAGTTTTCTTTTGCAAAAGAGTAATAGATTATAGGAATTTGCACTCTAACATCTAACAATTAAATAAGTCTAAAATTGAACGAACTTAATTTCACTTGATGCAACAATAATATGACTACCTACTTCATATTTATTGTAATATTTTGTTATTTGAACATCACATAAAATATGTCGTTATCAATTTTCATGGTGGACAATTTAATTTAAATTATTTTCAACAATATATATATATATATATATATATAAACAAATTACTCACATTGTTATTTATATTAACTTCAAATAACTACGTCTTAATTTAAAATAATTTCACTATTCTTACCGAATTTCAGAATGCGGCCTTCTAACAGGTGGTAGGATCGGTGGAACCTAGATGTGTGCTCTTGCAGTTTGAAAAATGAGAGAAGATCCATTTGTAAAAGACTCTTTGACCATTAAGTCACTAAGAAAGTAAGATCTTTATGTATAAGAAAAGTAAGTATGAGTTTTAGTAAGTCACTAAGAAAGTAAGATCTTTATGTATAAGAAAAGTAAGTATGAGTTTTAGTAAGTTTCCCAGATGAAATGTATGTTTATTTATAGGATCTCATGATTCTGTCATTTATATGGTTTAAATAAGAAAGATGTGTTGTTTGTTAAAAGGCATGTAATGGTTGTTTAAATGATAATAAAAACTGTCAAGATTTTAATAATAGACCATTGTTGGGTTGCATCGTCTAACATATTTGGGCTGAGTATGTAGACAAGCCCCTCCAATCTCGAAAGTTTGATTTAGCCTTAAAAATGCTTGTGATTTGTAGTTGAGGTTGAGTTTTGCCGACTTGTAGAGTTTTCAGGTAGATTGGCTATTCAGCCAAGCTCATATATCTTTGCAACAATTTGGCCAAATTTGTAGGTGGATTGGTAATTCGGCTGAGCTCATATATCTTTGCGATCATTTGACCAAATTTGTAGGTGGATTGGCCAATCCTCACTAGAAAAAGTGTTTCACTCAAGCACATTAGTGTATAAAGGTGTTTCATTCTCTCATTTACCTATAATAGCACACGATTTGACTTTGCTTTTCATTTCAAGAGTCAAGAATTATCAAGCATGCAAACACAACAAGAACTTTATTTGATGTTGGGACAAGGCAAGGAATGAAATTGGTGAATTGTAAATAAATTCAACAAAAGTGGTAGCATTCAATAAATAAAAACTTTGAGGCACAAAATCTCACTCGGTTAAGTTCTTTGGTTTCCCAAGGTTGTCATACATCATCCCACAATCACTAATCACAATCTAAATAATAACAACATTCTTGATATATTCACGTGAAAACAACCACAAGCATACGTTTTCACTAAATCACAACATATTCTTAATCACATTTTAAAAAATGAATCACAATATTTTTTACATATTGACGTCGAACGTTCGTATTTTCGATGTCAATATGTGCCTCGTCAATATATAAAAAGCTCCCGTGTTACAAAACTTATGCACAACTATGAAAATAATTCAAGCAAGACAAGGGGCATCTTCAGAAATCTTAAACCATGGATGTACATATGTGTAGTGGAACCCTTGTTCAAATTGACGTACAAATTGACGACAGATTATGTGATTATCCAACGTCAATTACCTTCGAGGATTTCGAAAGCAACTTCATTATTACAAAAACCTATGCACAAAAATGAAAACCAAACTAGCAAAAGAAGCATATGTTATGTAAAATGGAGAAGATGATTGAAATCCAACGTACTCATGTCATAATCATAAACCTAAAATATATGTCTATCATACACTAAGAAGAGAGTTACTTCACCTACTTTTTATTCAAAAAATTTCTCTCAAGGCGAAAATTGTTCCTAATAGCCTTCCGGAAACTCTTCAACAAATACTATTAAAAAATTTCCTCCTTCAATCACTACCGAGTCATTTGTCCATTGGCTTTTATTTTTTTTTTTATAAAAATATATTTTATAAAAAAAGTACAACTATTTATTGAGGTAAATACATTGTCTTACAATCCGTATTTAAAAACAAACCAGCCTTAATTTCATAATCTGAAAGTGGCTGAAAGTTGATGTGAAATCAAATATTGTTGATGTAAAAAACAAGTTACAAATATTTTCATTAAACCATTAAAAGTTGAATTATTTTACAATTAAAGAAAATGCTTGGAAATAGTTTAAGTTTGATTAAGGTAATGATAGGAATTAATCAAGTTTTACTAAGTAACTTTACTATTATTTTTCCTTATTTAAGGACTTTGTTTATGTAACCATATTTTTCTTATTTATTTTAGCTATTTAATGTATTTTGTGAAATCTGTACAAAACATCTACACAGATTCCTTAATATAAGGACAAATGATGAATTATTAGGTAATGTCTTAAAGACGTTGGTTTTCTTATTTCATTCCTTCATGATAATACAGTTTATTGAGGTATAATAGTGTCCCACTTTATATAAATGGAACACAGAGATAGGAGTAATCAAAACGGGGCTTGATTGTTGCAGTCCAAATTGTTCCCTGGGCTCACACCGAGCAATTGACAGTACCTCTGGTAGAATCCGATTCGACTTTGGACCCGAGCATCCGGGCCGCGCCCACATTCCAGTCCGCCGTTGATTATGTTGGTGATAACACCGTACCCGGGAACCCGGCCGGCGTTCGTGTCAGCACTAGATGGCGTCCATCCTCCGGTAATGACATTATGGCAGGACGGCTTGTTTCCTTGTGCCCTCATCCAAAACCAGATGGCTGTTCTGAACGCTACGTGTCTGTCTCTTCCAACTAGATCCGGATCATTCGTCAAATCTAATCCAAGTTCGCTACCAGCCAGCCCATAATTGTAGTTGCTGTTCACACCATGCAAAAAGTAAAAATTATGGAAAGAAAGTAAGATATATAATTTCTCTGATTAATCACACTTACAAAATGATGATGTCTAAGTTTTTATATACATAAAATTAATATTTTGATTACTCACTGTGTGAGTTGAATTGGTCCTCGTCCGTAATATCTTTTACCAGGAGCACATGGCCATCCTCCACCACTGCAATAAACATTCTGGTTCCGTTCGTTGATAAAACAATATCCCCACGCGTATGGACCATCCGGTGCAGTTTGCCACCCTCCTACATAAAACAGAACATTATTCGAATACACATATATATGCAATCACTACAAAAGTACTATGAACGTGCGAACCTGTGGTTTCATGAGAAGTTTGACCGAAGAAAGCTGCAATCTCTCTTTTACGGGTGTTGGTATCACCTGTTGTGCCAAACCCCCTGAAAGATCTAGCAGCACTGAGAAAAGCTTCGTAGGTGTAAAATCCACGCCCCGGACATGCTTGATTATTCCGGTGTTTTAGCATTTCTTCGAACTGAGAACTGCTAATGATGCTGCTGACATCGCCGCTGCCACTAGGTTGACATTGGCTCTGGCAACCTGTTCCACAATGTTCATTGCTGTTCCCGCACCACCCATATTGGCTGCAACATAACCCATTTGCGCACAGTGCTCCACCACCTTGCGAACCACATCGTTGCGCTGTGGCCCCAAGCATCAACATCGATGGCAACAAGCATAGCATCAGAGAACACAGTTTCATGTTACCCATTGTTAAGAAAGAAATGGTGAATGATATGTTTGATTCCGACGATCCATCGAGATATTTATAGATGAAATGTGATGAGGGAATTTAGTTTTGTACATATTTTTTTCAAAATTGGCTGCTGCTTCGTCTTGTTATCTTAATATTCTCTACATGACTTTGTGAATGCATGCATGTGTAATATTTATGAAGTTGACTCCTACATAGACGAGAGTACGCATAAAATTTAGTTGAAAGATCAAACATTATCGGACAATTATTTTGCTTCTAACGATTTATTAAAAACATAGTTAAATTTTTACGTTTAAACTAAAATAAGTAAAAATATTGAATTGCATATCATATAAAGATTAATCAATCATTAACATGAATTACCTAATAATTTTTCATTAGGCTTAATTAAATTTTAAATTATCATATATTTAGATATTTTCAGTTGAGTTTTTATTTTTTCATTCTATTAAATATTCAAAGTTTTTATATTTTTTATTTAGTACTTTTACTATTTAATTTATTCGTTAATCTGATGATGATGTCAATATTATTTCGTCTCATTATTATTTTTATTTAAAAAGTTATTTTTATTATTTTCATTCAAAATGTGATAGAATATCATGAAACTCTCTTATTCTTAATTGATTTCCATGTAGTCAAATATATTAATCAAGGGATTGTAATCATCATTATTGATGTAGGTAACAATTCTTCTTATATAACTCATTTTCATTCTTTTTTTAATATGTAAAGACAAGTAAGTAAGGTGGTAGAAATAAAATAATACTCACGTCACCCATTAAAAATATTAAACATCATATTTAATTAAAAATTTAAAATTTTGAATTCTTAATAAACAAAAAAATTAATAAAAACTCAGTTGAAAATATAATAAAGAATTAAAAATCAACTAAACCTTTTTCATTAAGTGTATATTTAATGTGATGGCTAAATGGTAAAAGAAATCAAAGACAAAGTCAATACCCTATTTTAATGGTCACAAATGTTCTTGCACTTCCATTACTATAACATTGTGTATGGTTATTAATTTATTCACTTGCGCATAAAAAAATAATGTTTCTAATTATAATTGGGTAAACGTTTCTTTTGACAACCCAAAGTTGTGAACTTTTTGAAAACGACACGTGATGTTTTTTTATTGGTTGGTTTGTAATATTTTATTAAGAGAGTGCATTTTGTCGTGGAGGATATTTTTGGAAAGGCATTACAGATTCTCCTCTTCATTTCGTGGTTTCATTTGAGACTTACTCTCTCTCAACTATTTTCATTTCTGTCTTCTTCGTTTCTCTCCACTATTTTCACTTTTTATGGAGCATTGCTTTTATTCTCGCGGGTCTTCTTGTCAATCAAAATAAATTTTGCCTTCGAGTGTTCCTGTTTTCGGGTTGGCGGCATTTTCCTCTTTGTTTTCTCTCTCCACCATTTTCACCTTGTCTAGAGCATTGCTTTCACTCTCAAGGATCTTCCTCTCAATCGAAAGAAATTTTTCACTCGAGTTGGAACTTGTATATGTTTTTTGTATACAAAATATCATGATTATAAATGTTGGGTAATATGTATTGATAATATATTATATCAATAAAATTTCAATTTTGATCTACTACCACAAGTTCTCTACTAGTGTTGTTCGACGATATATATACGTGCTCTACTCACACTTAAACACTAAAAAGAAGTCTCATGCATTCAAGAAATGTGAAAAAATTACGTAAAATGTCTTTGGTTACTTATGTGCCCACAACTGGCTCCTGCAGCACAAGTTTTTATACAAAACTAGATTTTTGTTCGTGTAATTTTTTACAGGGTCCTTGTAATCGATTACAATGGCCAAAAAGGCCTAACTTGATTACCAAGGCATAATTTGAAACGTCTTTGAGTCTAGATTCCAACAGAACAAGAATCAACTTATCTGGAGTTCGGTGAAGAGAGTTATGAGTAAAACAACCAGCAAAGGTTAGAGGTGGTAAGAATGTATAAAACATTAACTTTAAAGAATTAACTACACCTACTCAGATGTCCAAAAATCACATATCAGTAGTCATTGGAAAGATTTTTAAGTCTATTTTCTAATAAAAAAAGAATCACATCATTTGGAGGTTTGTGGAAAAAATTATGATTAAAATAGTCAACAAAAGGTCAAAGTTGATAGCATGTTATCTCTCTCAATTGCCTTTGGGAAGTGACGTTCTCACAGCTGGGTTCATGACTTAGCTAACATGATCCTCACACCATTATTGGGTCTTTTCTCTACCATGGGTTGCCCAAACCTCAATTTTCAAGATCTATAGTCACACTTAAACACTAAAAGGAAGTCTCGTGCATTCAAGAAATGTGAAAAAATTAAATAAAATGTTTTTGGCTACTTATGTGCCCACAATTGGCTCCTACAACACAAGTTTTTGTACAAAACCATACTTTTGTTCGTGTAATCGTTTATAAGGTCCTTGTAATCGATTACAATGGCCAAAAAGGCCTACACTTGATAACCAAGGCATAATTTGAAAGGTCTTTGAGTCTAGATTCCAACAGAACAAGAATAAACTCATTTGGAGTTCGGTAAAGAAAGTTATGAGTAAAACAACCAGAAAAGGTCAGAGGTGGCAAAAATGTATAAAACATTAACTTTAAGGAATTAACTGCACCTACTCAGATGTCCAAAAATCACAAATCAGTAGTCATTGGAAAGAATTTTGAGTATATTTTCTAATAAAAAAAGAATCATATCATTTGGAGGTTTGTGGAAAAAGTTATGATTAAAATAGTCAGCAAAAGTCAAAGTTGACAGCATGTTATCTTTGTCAATTGCCTTTGGGGAGTGACGTTCTCAGAGCTGGGTTCATGAGTTAGCTAACATGATCCTCACACCATTATTGGGTCTTTCCTCCACCATGGGTTGCCCAAACCTCAGTTTGCAGGCTCTACTCACACTTAAACACTAAAAGGAAGTCTCATGCATTCAAGAAATAGGAAAAAAAATACATAAAATGTCTTTGGCTACTTATGTGCCCACAACTCGCTCCTACAGCACAAGTTTTTATACAAAACAAGATTTTTGTTTGTTTAATCATTTACAGGGTCCTTGTAATCGATTACAATGGCCAAAAAGACTTACAGTTGATTACCAAGGCATAATTTGAAAGGTCTTTGAGTCTAGATTCCAACAAAACAAGAATCAACTCATTTGGAGTTCGGTGAAGAAAGTTATGAGCAAAACAACCAACAAAGGTCAGAGGTGTCAGGAATGTATAAAATGTTAACTTTAAAGAATTAACTGCACCTACTCAGATGACCAAAAATAACAAATTAGTAGTCATTGGAAAGAGTTTTGAGTCTATTTTCTAATAAAAAAAGAATCACATCATTTGAAGGTTTGTGCAAAAAGTTATGATTAAAATAATTAGCAAATGTCAAAGTTGACACCATGTTATCTCACTTAAATTGCCTTTGGGGAGTGACGTTCTCACAGTTGGGTTCAAGACTTAGCTAACATGATCATCACACCAACATTAGGTCTTTTGCTCCACATGGGTTGCCCAAACCTCAGTTTTCAGGCTCTACTCACACTTAAACACTAAAAAGAAGTCTTATCCATTAAAGAGATATGAAAAAATTAAGAAAAATGTCTTTGGTTACTTATGTGCCCACAGTTGGCTCATGCTAAACAAGTTTTTGTACAAAACCATATTTTTTTTTTCGTGTAATCATTTACAGGGTGCGTGTAATTGATTACAAGTGACAGAATACCCTGCAAATGCTTGAAATCCAATAAAATTTTGTCAATTCATCATTATTAATGGATGATACTCAATCACATTGGACACTTTTTTTTTAACATTCCAAACAACAACTTACTTGACAATGCCAATAAGGAAAGGAATAACACTTCAAATAACATTCACAATAATGAATACAAATCAAGATCCATCTTCATTAACGTTAAAAAAATGTTACAATACATTATTTTGTTCATATATGTACAATGATCTCTTACTTTCTATAATAACTAAATACACAAATCACTCATGTTTCGTCATATTTCCACTGTACGGAATCCTAAGGGCTCTACTCTTATATCGCTTTCGTGATCCGACCCTCACAAACCTCTTTGCAGTAAGTTGGTTGGTGTAAATGCCTCTCGGGCTTATAAAGGGAATGTTCATGTGGGATTCTTGACAAGCCGTATTGTGTTCACCATCATCTTTATTCCTCTGTTTATTCTTCTCTTCAGCCAACTCTGCCTTCAAAGCAATAAAAACACAATTAAACAAAACCCAAAAACCAAGAAATAAAACCCCAATTAAACAAAACACAAAACTGTTAGCAAAATGATGAAGATGAAGTTTTGATGATGTCCAAATCAAGTCAAGAGAAATCAAGACTCAAAATGTTATGAAGACTTGTATTGCTATGGAAAGCTTTTGTAATAATTATAGTTTAGTATCTAGGACTTAGATTATGAGTGGATTTATGTTTGCATTCAAAAGAGATGTAAAAATAAGCCAAACAGCAAAATCTGTGCAGTGTTAATCGATTAACACAGGGTGTAAATCGATTGTTCCAGAGACAAATGAAGAAGCACTGCATTGAGCTGTTAATCGATTAACAAGGGGTGTTAATC